ATAAATGCAGAGATTAAAGATGGCAGTATGAGAGGTGAGAAAGAGAACTCCTCCCAAAACCACATATAATACAAAAATATAGTTGACACAACTAATCCCAAAAGAGCAAGAGGAAAGAAGGCTACGCCAGACTGCATACACCTGGAGAACAGAGTAGAACTCACGAAACAAGGTAACATACCAAAGCCGTGATCCGGTGGGATCCAAGCCTTTCCCCCACCTCAGCTCACCAGCAGGAGGAAGAGAAACGGAGCAGGGAGGGGGGTGGAAGCCTTGGACTGCTGAACATCCAGCCCTGGAGATCTGCTCTGGGAGCACGAAACTACATTGCATGGTGCTCTGGAGATCAGTGGGGTTGGAAAGCTAAGACAGGCGAAATACTTGGAGAGACTGAGATTCCAGCCACTTGTGGAAAACAGGGATCCACATCCAGCAGCTCTGGGACAAAAGAAAGGCAGGCAGTCTGAGAAATTTCCTAACAGCAGGAAGGCTGCTAAAGGGGCAAGGACTGCACAGACCTTGCTGCTCAGGAGAAAGGACAGGAGGACAAATTTGTTCAGGCACACTCTGCCCAGCAGGTTGTGAACTTTTAGGAGCTTCAGGCACTCCATCCCCCTGGCTGGCTACACAGCTCTGAGGACCCCCACCATGATATGTAGTCTGCTGCACTTTCCTCTTGGCCTGCTGGCACCAACTGACAAACCAGCAGTCCCTGCCGGGTGACATGCCAGCCAGAGGGAGGCCCCATCTATGGCAGCTAGAAACTCAAAGCACAGAGGCTTACACCTGTGTGCTTGGCCCACTGGTTCTGACAGTGGAGACAGGCACTGCAGCCGGGAAGCAGGGCACTGCTCTTTCCTCCCCACAAGCACCAGCACTGCTCCCCTGAGGTCCCTGATGTCATTCCAGGGACTGGGCAGCTCCAGAGACTAGAGCCTCTGGGCACTTGAGGGCGCCACATACAAATATGAAATATCCAAAGAACCTGGTTCAAACCAAAATCTCACAAACTCCAGAGAAAGGGCAAGGGAAACTGAACTCATCAATCTTCCTGAAAGAGAATTCAAAATAAAAATCATAAACATGCTCATGGAGGTAGAGAAAAATATTCAAGAACTCAGGGATGAATTTAGGATGGATTCTCAATATCTGAAATGCAACATACAATGGAGGGACATGGTATTGTACATAAAAAACCCTAAAGAATGCACCCCAAAACTACTAGAATAACTGAAGTCAGCAAAGTTACAAGATAAAAATTAATACACAGAAATCGGTTGCATTCCTATACACTAACAATGAACTAGCAGAAAATCAGAAAAACAATTCCATTCACAATTGCATCAAAAAGAATAAATTGCCTAGGAAAAAAACCTAATGAGGAAAGTGAAAGACCTATACTCTGAAAACTACAAGACACTCGAGAGAAATTAAAGAAGATACCCGTAAGTGAAAATACATTCTGTGCTCATGGATAGGAAGAATTAATATTGTCAAAATGTCCATCCTGCCAAAAGCAATCTATAGATTCAATGTAATCCCTATCAAAATACCAACAGCATTCTTCAACAAACTCGAGCAAATAGTTCTAAAATTCATATGGCATCACAAAAGACCCCAAATAGCCAAAGCAATTCTGAGAAGGAAGAATAAAGCAGGGAGGATTACGTTCCCTGACTTCAAGCTCTACTTCAAAACTACAGTAATCAAGACAATTTGGTGCTGGCACAAGAACAGCCCCACAGACCAATGGAACAGACTAGAGAGCCCAGATATAAAACCAAGCACATATGGTCAGTTAATATACAATAAAGGAGCCATGGATATACAATGGGGAAATGAGAGCCTCTTCAACAACTGGTATTGGCAAAACTGGACAGCTACATGCAAGAGAATGAAACTGGATTCTTCTCTAACCTCATACACAAAAGTAAACTCAAAATGAATCAAAGACTTGAATGTAAGTCATGAAACCATAAAACTCTTAGAAGAAAACATAGGCAAAAATCTCTTGAAAATAACATGAGCAACTTTTTTCATGAATGCATCCCCTTGGGCAAGGGAAACAAAATAAAAAATAAACAAATGGGACTACATCAAGCTGAAAAGCTTCTGTACAGCAACGAACACCAACAGCAAAACAAAAAGGCATCCTAAACTATTGGAGAATATATTTGTAAATGACATATCCGACAAGAGGTTAACATCCAAAATGTATAAAAAACTCACATGCCTCAACACCCAAAAAGCAAATAACATGATTAAAAAATGGGCAAAGGATAGGAACAGACAATTCTCCAAAGAAGAAATTCAGATGGCCAACAGGCTCATGAAAAAATGCTCCACATCACTAATTATCAGGGAAATGCATATTAAAACCACAATGAGATATCACCTAACACCAGTTCAGATGGCCAACATCAAAAAGACTAGGAACAACAAATGCTGGTAAGGATGCAGAGAAAGGGGAACCCTCCTACACTGCTGGTGAGAATGTAAGTTAGTTCAACCATTGTGGAAAGCAATATGGAGGTTCCTCAAAAAACTAAAAATAGAAATATCATTTGACCTGAGAATTCCACTCCAAGAAATTTACCCAAAGAAAACAACTTCCCAGATTCAAAAAGACATATGCGCCCCTATGTTTATCACAGCACTATTTATAATAGCCAAGATATGGAAGCAACCTAAGTGTCCATCAGTAGATGGATGGATAAAGATGTGGTACTTATACACAATGGAATACTATTCAGCCATAAGAAAGAAACAAATCCTACCATTTGCAACAACATGGATGGTGCTAGAGGGTATTATGCTCAGTAAAATAAGTCAGGCAGTGAAAGACAAATACCAAATGATTTTCCTCATTTGTGGAGTATAACAACGAAGCAAAACTGAAGGAAGAAAATATCAGGAGACTCACAGATTCCAAGAAGGGACTAATGGTTACCAAAGGGGAAGGGTAGGGGAGGGTGGCAGGGAGGGAGAAGGGGATTGTGGGGTATCATGATTGGTGCACATGGTGTGTGGAGGGTCATGGGGAAGATAATGTAGCTCAGAGAAGACAAATATGGACTCTGTGGCATCTTACTACACTGATGGACAATGACTGCAATGTGGTATGGGTCGGGGACTCAATAATAAGGGTGAATGTAATAACAACATTGCTTTTCTTCTAAAACCTTCATAAGAGTATATATCAATGATACCTTTAAAAAAAAGGAAAAAAAAAAAAAAAACATAAATTAAAAAAAAAAAAAGGTTGGATAACCCTATTAAAAAATGGGTGGAGTATCTGAACATACACTCTCCAAAGAAGAAATTCAGACGGCCAACAGGCACATGAAAAAATGCTCCACATTGTTAATTATCAGGAAAATGCAAATTAAAACCACAATGAGATATCACCTCACACCAGTTAGGATGGCCAACATCCAAAAGACAAGGAGCAACAAATGCTGGTGAGTATGCAGAGGAAGGGGAACCCTCCTACACTGCTGGTGGGAATGTAAGCTAGTTCAACCATTGTGGAAAGCAATATGGTGGTTCCTCAAAAAACTAAAAATAGACATACCGTTTGACCAGGAAAATCCACTCCTAGGGATTTACCCAAAGAAAACATGATCCCAGATTCAAAGACACATACACCCCTATGTTTATTGCAGCGCTATTTACAACAGCCAGCAAGATATGGAAGCAACCTAAGTGTCCATCATCAGTAGATGAATGGAAAAAGATGTGGTACATATACACAATGGAATATTACTCAGCCATAAGAAGAAAAAAAATCCTACCATTTGCAACAACATGGATGGAGCTGGAAGGTGGTATGCTCAGTGAAACAAGCCAGGTGGAGAAAGACGAGTACCAATGATTTCACTCATTTGTGGAGTATAACAACAAAGCAAAACTGAAGGAACAAAGCAGCAGACTCACAGACCCCAAGAAGAGACTAGCAGTTGGGGTAGGGATGGCGGGTGGGGAGGGAGGGAGAAGGGGATTAAGGGGCATTATGATTAGCACACACAATGTAGGGGGTGTCACAGGGAAGGCAGTGTAGCACAGAGAAGACAAGTAGTACCTCTGTGTCATCTTACTGTGCTGACGTACAGTGACTGCAGTGAGGTGTGGGGGACACTTGATAATATGGGTGAATGTAGTAACCACAATGTTGTTCATGTGAAACCTTCATAAGAATGTGTATCAATGATATCTTAATTTAAAAAATTAAATAGAAAAAAAAGAATAAATGCAAAAATCCACAGTGAACAAATATAGAAATTTTAAGTAAAGGCAAGATCCATGGGCCAGGATGAGGGTGCACAAAGGGGGGCACTCTCAGGGTGCATGGTCAGATCCTGTCTGCATTTAAACTTATGATATTTTGTTTATCATGAATTTTTTGAATTTTGAATTTTTTTAAAGAACTGCATTAACATGTTATTTATTTTAAAACTGAGTTTTTGGAGGGTATTTCATTAAATTTTGCATTTAAGGTGAGTGTTTCACTCACCTACTTCTGTCCCAATCTGTTAAAAACGGAAGGAGAGCTTGCTCCAAGTCAGTGATAACCACTGTGAATGCTTGGTGAACAACTTTTCAAAGGTCCCTCTGATTTGGCATGTGTTTTTTTCCACACTATTCCTACCCATTGGAAATGTATATTTTTTTACTTTTAATATACAGTGAACAGAGATAAATAGTGACTGCAGCATCATTTTAATGGCAATCCATTTTATCGGCATATGGTAGTTGTTTAATCAACACTGTACTTAGTAAATAACATGTCAACAAACATTATTGTGCATGCTTTTTTGCCTACTTATCTGATTATTTTCTTGGGATAAGTTCCTAGAACTGGAATTGCTGAGTCAAAGAGTTTGTACACACCTTTTCAAAGCAATAAAGAATATCTGGGAGTCACTGCCAGCTGAATTTAACCCCTTTATGTAATATTTACACAATTTCTAAAAATCGATTTCCTTTTCTTTGGACAGGGCCAGGAGACAAAATGTCATCACAGTTTTTGCCAGTATCACTGACTTCTGGAGGTAAAGAAGAAATCAATCAATGAGTTTTTGCCTCGTGCCTAGTACAGTTACTCTCCATTGTAGATTTGGAGAGTAAGAGAAAGAGAATGCTACACAATAAGCATCAGCCATGGTCTACATATAAAGAGTTTATAAACTACCCACTGAGAAAGTTTTCTTCTACTTTTTCATTCTGAAAAGAAAAATCTTCAAGTTGGAGGAGCATTACATTGTCATATTTAACTAGATTGCTAGTCTTTCATGATGTAAAACAGTCACCTCAGATATTTGTTATAATCAAAGACATGAATAATGATGCTTTATCCAAATCTGCATCTCCTTTCCTTTACTATCCTTTCTCTCCTGGTCCTCCGGTTTCTTTATAACTATACAAAAATTAGTATTTATCAGTATGGGCAAAGGCCATTTGTCAGGCAGTCTTTATGCTTTAGTCCACTAATTCCCAGCCCTGGCTATACATTACAGCCACTGGGGGCAGGGTGGGAAAGGGCTTTCAAATAGTCTGATGCTGAGCCTTTGGGGAGTTGGAGGTACTTGTTGGGTAGGATAAGAAGCGGGGACATGTCTTCAGTCATCCTATCCCTTTCCCTGATTTAAAGTGTCAACTGCAAACTCCCAGTATTCCCGGCTTTGGCTATTGGTATTTAATGCCAAGATTCACACACACACACACCAATCCCACCCCAAGCATTGGAAAGCAAAAAGAAAGAAAAAGAGAAAACTTTTTATCATTTCAGGCTTTGGGAATAAAAAATTGTCCATTCAGAAATTAAATTGACTTTCCTCTCTCTCTTCTTCTACTTTTCCCTGTCTCTCTCTTCATGGCCAGACTTTTTTTAATTAAGTACAAAAGTCCATTATTTTAAGTACATTCAAAGATATGTGCAACCGTCACTACAGTCTATTTTAGAACATTTTTATCATCTCAGAAAGAAATGCTGCCCTTACCCTTACCCACTATGCCCCATCTCCCCTCCAGCCCTAAACAACCACTGATCTACTTTGTTTCCATGGATATTCCTCTTCTGGACATTTCATGGAATGTAATGGAATCATATAGGGTCTTTGTGACTGGCTTCTTTCACTTAATATATTTCCAAGGTTCATCTATCTTGAGAGTATGTATCCCTTTCATAGCTGGTCAATATCCCACCATGTGGACACCACATTTTGTTTATCCATTCTTCAGTAGATGGATGTCTGGGTTATTTCCTCCTTTTAACTATTGTGAACAATACTGCTATAAATATTCATGTACAAGCTTTGCTGTGGACATATTTTTATCTCTGTTGGGCATATACCTAAGAGCGGAATAGCTGGGTCACATGGCAACTCTTTGTTCAACTTTTGGAACAGCCAGACAGTTTTCCAAAGTGGCTGCACCATTTTGCATTCTTTTCAGCAGTGAGGAAGGGTCCAAATCCTCCACACCCTTGCCAACACTTGTTATTTTCTTTGGCTTTTTTAAAAGACTCTCTAGTATGGACTGAAGATTGGCTGTGCTATGGCTGCTAAAATGTTTGTGTAAGGGTAATTGTGAGTATATTTGTAGTGGTAGGAAGAAGCACCATCTTAATATCTCAAAATATGATCCCACTGTCCTGTAATAGACCCCTTTATCTATTTGCCAATAAATATAGATTCATCCCCTGGGAAGCACTAAACATTGTGCTCCAAGCCATGGAACAAACACTGATGGGATGTGGCTCCTGCCTCCCAGATCCAGGCCATGCATCTTGGCTTCGGCCCCAGGTAGGGAGGCAAGGCTGCCTATGGCCTCCTCCTCAGAGGCCCACATGCCCCATTTACTGTGCTGGCTGCTGGGAAACTTGCTGTTCTGGTCAACAGAGGAGGGATGACCTGCTTTTCTTTTTTATTACAGATGAATTAAAAGATGACTCAATCAAAAAGGACAGGCCATGTAAGATCTTTTTCAAAGATCTCTTCCTCTTCAAAGAAAATGAAATGGCAGCAAAGAAAAAGGTAAGGTTTAATTAAAATCCCAATCCTAGGTAATGTTAGAAATATAGCTTCTTGTCGGTCGCTTTTGTGAACTTCGCTGGGTTAAGACATGGAGTTGGATGTCAGTGTGTACACTGTCACTTTGTGGGAGAAGGTGTAAACATGCAGAACAGAGCAGCATCCCCCGGTGGTAAGGACCTAATGATCCCCAATAGATATACCAGTACACCCCACTATGACAAGTACACTATACCCTACCTACTTCATTGATTCCAACGCCCACATTTTTTCACATTTTCTCATTCCTGAAATTGGGATCCAGGTTATATAGATGAGATGTCATACATAATTGGTAATGCATAAAATTATAGTTCATCTTAAAATAAATGGCATCTTGGAGTTCTAGATGCATACAAAGGAAATAGAGAGAAACGGGTGCTTATCTTTGCTGAGGAGTAGAGGGTGGTGGTGGTGGTGGTGTGTGTGTGTGTGTGTGTGTGCAAAAACTAACTGAAGAAATAACAGGAGCTGAACTGTTAAGAATAAAAATTTTGCCAGACAGAGAATGTATATGTGTATATTGGGGAGGTGGGAGGAGGAAGGGTGTCATTTAGAATTACATGGTTGGAAGCTAAGTCGGCAATGTAGTTAACTCTCCAGCTATGCGTTGCAGTTAGTCTCACCACTTGTACGGTCATACCTTACATTACATGGTTCAAATTTTATGTGGTTTGCTTTCCTTATTCCTAAAGGTAAAGGTTGATTTCAGGATTTAAAAAATCCTTATTAGGATGTGGAAAATACCTAGAAATGCTCAATAACTCATTTACCCGTAAGGTGATGGTCTTTATGCCTGTGTTCTATAGTTTTATTCAAAGTACCCAAAATTAAATTGAGAAAAGATGCATGAAATCAGAAGCCTGTTTTTTGTCCTCGAGGGAGATCCATGTCCTCTCAGGTTTCCAATTCCACAGAACCAGTTATTTCAAATCAGTGGAACTTCCAAGTTGGCTGCATTTAGGCAAGACGACATTGTGAAAATAAAGCCAAAACAATATTTCCCACTCTCATATTTGTGGTGTACATGTTTAGTAAAGATTGAATATTTTTATGTTTGTGCTCAGCTACACAGAAGAAGAAACTGAAAACTACATAATCCTTCAGAGAGAAGACCTTGAAGTTGCTTGTTTGCTGTGTTAGTAATGAGAAAAGGACTGCTTGCAAATGATATTTTTACATATATATATATATCACTATTTCAAAGACAACTTTTTTTCTTTGGTATAACAGACATTCTTTTAAACTTTTCCATTTGAGCAGGAAAAATACATGAACCGCCTCATGAAAGTCCACCAAAAGTCCACGTTTTCATCCCGAATGAAGAGTCGTTCACACCTGGGCCAAATAGTATTGTACTCCCACCCAGCTCCTGGCTCGTTTGAAAAGTCTGGGCTCGACCCCACCCTTGTTCTCAGGTTAACAGAACGTAAGTGTGCATGACTGGGTTTTTAAGAACACTGTCTTGAATATTTCCTGGTAATACCAAGTTTGGAAAAGCAAAGTATGCTGTCTCATAACGTGGTGGTGTTGGGGACGGGTTTTTGTAATTGGGGTCATTTGTATCAAGTGAGTCTACTTTTATAAGTATTAATGATTTCTATCACAAAAATTTTTTAAAGTATTAAAAAGAGAACTCTGTGCTGACTTTCACATGCTATTTTTATTTAATCCTCAACAAAATGGTCTTAGATGTTTTTGCCTCTCCTCCTCTGATGAAAATGGCTCAGGGAGGTTGAGTCACTAATTCAAGGTCTCTAAGTAGATGCAATATTCAAACGAATGGCTGCCTGACTCCCAAGCTGCTTGTTGGTCTGTCACCTACCACTACAGAAATATTGTTAATGCTTCTAATAATCATTATCACTATTATTTTTGTCCTTGAAAAATTAAGTGATTACTCATTCCAGTTATATTTTTTAAAATAAGAGGTAACAATTGTTTAGAAATTACTATGCATAACCACAATGTTTTTCATGTGAAACTTTCATAAGACTGTATACCAATGATACCTTAATAAAAAAAAAAAGAAATTAGTATGTATTTTATAACATGCTGCCTCTTTTCCTTCTCAACACTTCTGAGGGAGAGAGTGATAGTAATGTCCACTCACGCTAATTGATGCTGTGGTAATAAACCACTCAGTTTCAGTGGTTTACAGCGACAGGGGTTTATTTCTCATTCACTTAACAACTTTGGTGCATCTCATTGAGTCCGGCACTGAAGAAACAGTCTGCGTGTTGCTGGAGCTGTGGAAGAGGGAAAGAGAGAGAACCAGTGGTGGTTTTTAAAACTTCAGCTTGGAAGCAACATAGAACTACTTCCACTCCGATTCCATGAGCCAAATCACATCAACAGTCAAGCCTAATATCAGTGGGGGTAGGTGGAGATAATCTTCTTACAGAGAGGTGCAGAAAATATTTGGGAACAAAATAATATAATCCACCACAGTTAGTATCCTCATTTTACAGATGGAAAATGAGGCTTGGAGAAGGTACATAATGTACTCACATTCCCACAGCTATAAGAGATGGAGGCAGAAGACACCACCAGGAAGACTGTGGACTGCCTAGTACAGTACAGGCTCCCTGGTTATTTGGAAATATTATTTTATTTCTGCTTCTATTTACATTTTCATTAAGGGACTTTATTCTATGCCGCATTCTGTTGATTTTTCATGAAGCAAATATTAATTGAAATGCAGCCTATATATACTTTTTCCAGAACAAAGAAACCTTGAAAGGAAACTTTGGTCTTTTGTATTGCCAGATGGTAAAGCTGGTTGACATCTTTTCCCTTCCCACCAGAAATTTGGTGTATGGACTAAGGACTTCAGTTTTATGTCTAGATTAGCCAAAATGTTAAGATTTAAAACCATTCAGTTTCAGTTAGTACAGGCTTAGGAGTGGTATGCCGCTTCTGCCACTTGTTAGCTGTGTGATCTTGGACGAACATCTTGACATCTCTGGATTTTGGAAAAAGTTTCTGGAATTTGATGGACATGAAATAAATGGTAGTTACTACTGTTAAATTAGTTTTTGAGTAGTTAGGAAAGAAGTTTATTTGAAGGTATAGTATTTTCTTAGGTCTGATACATACTGTATGCAATACTTTAATTACATAGCTTTTGTTTTATACAGCATCTTTTAGTGATAATGAATGAAACCTAAGTTTATTTTAATTTTCTTTAAAGGTGCAGACACAAAAAGGACTGTTCATGAATTTATTAATGACCAGAGAGACAGGTTTCTTCTTGAGGTAGTAAAAACAATTTCTTTCTTCCATTAGCCAAGTAGAAGACTGCCTGCATAGCATTACCAAATTTTCACTTTGAGATTGTATTTTTCTGTCATGTGCCCTGATCTGTCACCCTTCCTATCCTCTCTTGAACTGGCTGCTGTCAGGCTTTTGTCCTTATCATTTCACCAAAACTACTTTTGTCAAAGTTACCGATGACCTCCCTATTGCCACATTCAGATCATCACTTTACAGTCTTCTGTTTACTTACTGTCCGCAGCAGTTGTCCCAAGGAATCACTCCCTCTTTCTTGAAACGTCTCTTCAGGTTTCCAGGACTGTCTCTTGATTCTTTCACATTACTGGCACCTCCTCCTTCACTATATTCTTCTCCTGTTCCTTTTCTCCCTGTTCTCCAAATGTTGGAAAGCCCCAGGGCTCACCCCTCACCCTGTGTTCTGTCTACCCTCTTCCAGCTCCATGGCTTCAAATTCCACTTCAGTATTAACAACTGCCAAATGTATTTCTCTAGCCTGATGCTCCTCCCTGAACTCCAGACTCACAAAGTCGTCTCCTAAGCTTTGCCCCTGTGATACTCTTCCAGACCCCTGCAAATTGGCATCTCATGCAGTGCTCTCTCTCTCTCAGTAAATGGCTATTTCATTTTTCCAGTTGCTTAGGCCAATAATACTGGAATCATCCTCAACTTCTCTTTCTTACAACCCACATTCCAACATACAAATATGTTTTTTCCCAAATATCCATAATCACACTACTTTCAGAACCCCCACTGCTGCCACTGTAGTCCATGTCACCACTCTCTTTTGCATGAATTGTTGTTAGAACTTCTAACCCTGGTCTCCTGCTTCCCCTTTGCTCCCTACACTCAGTCTTCTCTCCACCCAGCAGCAGGAGTCTCTTCTCCACATGTGCCCCTCTTCTGCTGAAGTGACGGGTCTGGTTCCCAGCGCTCTCTAACCTCATCCCTGCCACCCTGGCCTCCTTGCTGTTGCTGGGACACAGCAGTCATGCTCTTGTCTTAGGGCCTTTGCACAGGAGGCTCTTTTATCTGGGAGGAACATTTCTTCCTGAGATTATTCCTCCAAATGATTTATTCTCTACTTCCTTCTAGTCTCTGTTTATTTCCACCATGTCAGGGAGCCTTCCCTTGGCTATACATAATGGCAACCCCCTGCACTTGCCCACTGGACCACTTATCCCCCTTTAATCAACTCCCCTCCCTACTATAATGTATACTCCATAAAAGCAGTTTTGTTTATTTTGTTCATTGATCTATTAGCACCCCTTAACAACAGTCCTGCCATATGGGAGGCACCCAATACTACTTGGCAAATAAAGTAATGAATGAAATTTGTTTTGTTATGCATTGGAGTATTGAATTATTGGTTGTTGTTTCTTTAGAATTATCTCATTTACATATTCATAGCTCACATTATAATGTATCTGGCTTTGTTTATAACTTATTTTCATGAATGCATTAAAAACCCAAATGGATTCTTTTATTCTGTACTAAAAAAAATAAAAGCTAGATGTCAAAGCTGTATTTGGGGACGTAAACAGGGTTCTTTGAAGCTAGCTAAGCACCCCTTCCCTCGGGCTGACTTGGGGGAACATCACTGACAGCACTGGGACCCTTTTCTCCCATGGTACTTCCCACTGGAGGAGGCTGTGGCTGCAGACAGTTCAGTTTCACGATGCAGGAAGTACCGAAGCATTGTGAGTGAGCCCATGTGGACCTGCTCTTTGGAGGGATATGTAGTTTTTTTGTTTTTCTAAGGACAGAGCCTGACAAAATTTGCAGGGCGCAGCCATTTCAGAACAATACTGAGGCTCTCATAAAGGTGAAAATCAGGAATTCTTTTCCCTTCTAACTATCCCCCAAATAAACTTCCTTCAGGAAATAAGACATAGCCTCAGGATTTGGCATACTATTATTTCTAATACAAATGATCACTTATTGTGCAAATTATTTTCCCCTTTATTATGAGATGCTGAAATGTACTAGAAATATCCCTGAAATGTGGAATAATGTTCTTGATGCACGTCTGTTTTCAATATTCCTAGTATGCTCTGTCAACCAAAAGAAATACAATTAAAAAGTTTGAAAGGCTCATAGCAACGAAGGAAAGGCAGCTCATAAAAGCAGAAAAAAAGCTCCAAGAGGACGCAGTGGCATTTGAAGAGTTCCTTCGAGAAAACGACCAGAAATCTGCAGATGCTCTTAAGATGTTCGTTTTTCTTTTTCACCCTGGAAAAAACATTTTTCTCCTCCCTTTCTTCTTTCTAGTTTCTCAGAACACAACACAGGACAAAACACACTGACAAATCTCTCTTGCTTTTCAGTGCAGCACAGGAAACTATAAACAAACTCCAGATGACAGCAGAGCTAAAGAAGGCTAGTAGGGATACACAGGCAGTGAAAAGGTGAGGCCAGGACACCTAGTTTTCTTTATTCCTTCTGCCCCACTGAAACCTATTTGTGTCTAGCAGGACCTAAGTGAAAATAATCCTTATCAGTTGATGATTTCATAAGTATGACCACATTTTAAATAAGTAATTTGTCATTCAAGGGTTGTCTCTGCCTGGGTATCAGGACAGTACAGTGACCTCTGCCAGAAAGCTTCCTCTGACTTGTCAATGTAAAAGGCTAGAAATTAGTTGAGAAGAGGCAAATCAATGCTGGGAGTAAATAAATTGTTTTCTAAGTGCCCCTTTTCATTCATTCTGAGACACAATTCTTCCCACATTTTGGCAGCTCTGAAATTGAGATTTTCACAATCACCTTAACATTATAACTGTCAGTATTTCTTATATTTATACTTAGACTTAGTTGAACTTACCATTGGTATTAAAAACCAGGATCTATAATGACAAAAATTACAGGAGTAGGACTTGGGATAAAAATATTGTACCACCCACCACTTTTTGTTTTCAAACCTGGAAATTTTCCTTCATGGTCAAGTGTATCTCACTTGATTTACATTTAAACATCTAAAGAGGCTTCCTTCTGCCAGCATCCTTAGACAGTAACTTAATGATCCAGGGGACACTGCAGTCATGGTATCAAGTGATGCTAAAACCTGTTTTGTCTTTTTAAGGGCTTCTTGGTTCGCTGTCCTCCGAAACCAAGCCCTAGGCTTTGGGGGAGGGGGACAACAATGGCTTGTCTACAATGCATCAAATGAACTGGATAGTAGTTTCCTTGAAGCCAGTGGCTGCTAAAAAATCTGTGTTTTAAACACATTTTGGCTGTAACAGCCTCTTTTATTTTAGGAGCTTAAAGTTGAAGGTGCTCCAAAATGGAGAATTCCCTCCTCTCCCTTACTCCATAATGTAATTAGAAGATTCTGTTCTATTTATAGAACTAGAATAGCAGCCTCTACATTTATATCAAGTACTGTATTCATGCACAATGGCCACCCAGTTATACCCTTTGAACAACAGCCTTGCCTGTTGATTATGTGTCTCTTCATCCTAGAAAGGTGCAAAGGAACTGACAAACCAGCTGGTAAGAAAGCAAGGGGTGCAGGCGCCTGCTGTTTATTCCCTCATCTCTCTTTATGGGCTTCAGATGGCCCAGGGAGGTCCTCCACTGTAGGTAGGGCTGCAGATCTATTTTCAAAGGGAAGGGAGGCTTGTTCAGAAGCCATGGCTTAGAAGATATGTAATGCTAGTGATTTTAACCCTGTTCTTTGTAGCTTATCTGGGAGACTTTCAATCTAAAAATAAATGGTGGTAGAATGAGGGGCTCCTAACAACTTCCAACTGGTGCTACATGAGCCCGATATTCATTAGCTCTGGAACATCACTCTCACATCAGGGCTTAAGGAGGGCACTGACGGAAGAAGCACTGAAGCTGAAGATACTGATACAGGAGTAACACTGACAAGGGTGTTGCAGGGTATGAACAAGGAAGGCTCAGAAGGATAAAGCTGGAGCCTCCTTTCATGAAGGCCTTCATTATTATTTTAAGCACTCCTTCTGGGTCCATTTTGTAACATGATATGGGAAAGCAATGTGAGGCTGGGAAAGGCTTTCGGTCTGAGTCAGTGGGTATTGTTGGCGAGGGCTTGGGCATCTAAGTCAAACACACCCGGGTTTGGGTGCTGGTTCTGCCATTTACTAGACAGATGACTTTCAAGTCATTCATTTCTTCTTCCAAAAGATAGTGCTAATTCCTCAACACACTGAGAACAGAAATACCATATGACCCAGAAATTCCACTTCTAGGAATTTACCCAAAGAAAACAAAATCACTAATTTGAAAAGATATATGCACACCTATGTTCATTGCAGCATTATTTACAATAGTGAACATACAGAAGCAACCCAGGTGCCAATCCATAGATGAATGGGTAAAGAAGGCATGGTTCATATAACATAATGGAATATTACTCAGCCACAAAAAGAAGGAAATCCTGCCATTTGTGAGAACATGGATGGACCCAGAGGGTATCATGTTAAGTGAAATACTCCAGGCAGAGAAAGACAAATACCAGTACCACGTGGTCTCACTTACATGTGGAATCTAAAAAACAAACAAAACAGAAGTAGACCCACAAATATAGACAACAGACTGTTGGTTACCATAGAGAAGGGGGTGAGGGGATGAGTGAAACAGGTAAGGGAATAAACAGGTACAAACTGCAAACTGTAAAATAACTTAGATATAAGAATGGAAGTACAACATAGAGAATTTAACCAATAATGTTCTGATATCTTGGTATGATAATGGGGTAACTACATCTATTGTGGCAACAATCTAGTAATGTGTACAATTATCCAGTAACTATGTTATACATCTGAAACCAACATAATATTGTGTATCAACTTTATTGCAATAAAAAAATAAAAAGATTGCAATAAAAATAAAAAGATTTGGTACATTCATTAAAAAATAGATATTGTACTAATAACACTTTGTTAAAGTGCTGTGCTAGAGATACAATTTTACCTGTAGTATATGTCCTGCATGTTGCCTAGTACATAGCACGTGCTCACTGAGTGTTAATTTCCTTTCTTCTCCCTACATAAGTGTCATTTTTTGTTACCTTCCAATTTCTCCCTGTGTCCAAAATTTAATACAGTATTTCCCTCAGAAATAAAAAGTAGAGTAAAACTGTCATCAGCCTAGTCTACATGTGCATAGCCTGGGCATGTTTTACTCAAATAGCATCGCTACTGATTTCTTTCTTCTCATATCTAATTGATGCCCATATTTTTATGACCATATTTATAATTTTTGTTAAATAAATTAGTATTCAAATACATAATCAAGATAATTAATTTTTTTAAATGTTTTGTTAAAAAACAAACATACTTTCACACAGATACATCTAATCATATCTTTGTTTCTTTTGTAGTGAAATAGCAAAAACAGAATTCCTCCTTAGAGACTACATGAAATATGGACTTTTTCTGCTGAAATTGTCTCCGAAACCCTGGCAAATCCAGCAAGCAATGAAAAGGGTGCAGGTGTCAAAAAGCCAAGAAGATATGAATGTCACTCTTCCAAAAATATTAACAAGTGAGTCACATATTCTTAGTTTCAATTAAGTAAATATTCCTAATTCTAAATATTCTGCTTCAATAATTGTTATTTATTAAATAGTCTGAATTTCTATTTGAAGTAGAATCTGAAGGATTCCCACTTTATCTGCTATTATTCATTATTAATTTGGAAACTTGGGTTAATTTCAGATATAAAGTAATAAAATATATATACAGAAATAGAAAATATATTATTTGTAGATAATATGACAGCATACTTAGAACATCCCCTATTAAAAAGTCTGAAAAGTGATTTGATTTTATTAAGGGGTTCTGCAGAGTAAACGGACACAAAGTCAATTATATTTTATTAAACTAATATATTAACCTAAATAGAATAACTTTATTAATTAGAAAATATACAAGGAAACTAAATTCAATGAAGCAACAATAACCTTAATTGTGTGACCTAGAGTTTTGACTAATTGAGAAACACATCAAGTTTTTAGATAGGAAGATTGGTATTATAAAGTTGCTAGTTTTTCTCAAACTAATGTATAAGCTTTATGGAATTATAATAAAAATGTTACCAAAAGTTTGTCAGGATGTTGGGTGTTGGGTTAGGGAAAATTTTGCCCAATAACACTGAGGTTCATATAGAAAAATACTTTTGAAGTAAGAGGGTAGTGGGAGTATTATTAATCCTATAAGGTATTATAGATTATCACAGTCTCAGAAATTAAAACAGTATGGTTCTAGCATTAGGAATCAGCTCAATGGACCAGAAGTAGATCCTATTTTATGTAAGAATTTAATACATGATCAAAGTGAGATAACAAATCAAAGTGGAATCCAGCAACACTGGCGTAACAAGGAACGGCCATACCCTCCTGCCTGAAAAACTTGAAAAATATATGAAGCAGCAGTTTCCAGACATCAGCCATCAAGGAGCAAAGTTTCCCCGAGAGAGGGCAAACAAAGGAAATGCAGTGGCCTCAGCTTACTGCTGGGGAAGAGGAGTGCAGCGGGGCCCACGAATTGAGCACAGATCTGGAGATCCAGGGAGGCCACGGCGGCTGGAGTTCCCTGAGCAGAGGACTGAGAGGAGAGGGCTACACAGAAAGAGTTCTGGAGATCCGCAGCCTTTAGCTGAGCTCGATCCTGAGACCCTGGGTCAGAGCATTTACAGCACGGAGATCAGTACACGACAAATTAGGGAGGATCTCATCTTAACCATTTAGTAGCTCTCCTGCTCAGTTCCCTGTGTTCACTGTGCTGTGACTAAATTAGGTCATGTGTGTAAAGTGTCAGGCACAGTGATGACACTTGGTTAAACTCAATCATAGTCTTTGACAAAAGAGAAAAGAAAACAAATGCAAAGGACACTGAGAAGTGTTTGCATGTAACAGCTTAAGATTCAGTGCTCTGGACATCACATAACTAGAGGGTGCTTGGAAGCCAGGGAGTCTCTCAGTCCAGAGGAGGGAATGGCTAACACTGGGATTTTAAAAGTCATGACAGACTGATATGGGAAACAGAGACCTCCTCGTGCCCTGCAGGCCAGTTCCCACACATTACGCCTGCTCCAGAGACCAGCTCTTGCTGCCGCATCATACATTTGCTGGTTAGGGTGTTCCCTCTTATATTTATGCCCCTGGAAGTTTTCACAGTGAGTACTTTTCAAGATCCTGAAGAACTTCACCCTGAGACAAAGTTCTCATTCTCAGAGAGAATGAGTTTCCCTCCACTCTCCTCTTTATTTTCCATTTCTAGAACTGAATACAAGGAAAAAAGAGGGCAGTGTTGAGGAGTGTAGGAGGACATCATTCTCAGAAGAGTATTTTCTGGGAAGTAGCCAAGGTAACACTAAATATTTGGGACTTAAGTCCCAGAAGTAAAACCACAGTAGGTGCCCATCTCAAAGTGAAAACCCATGACATATAAGATAACCTGGAAAACGGGCTAGTGTCCACATCACCCTTAATCCTGGGGAGCTAGGAGATTCATTTCTCTCTCTGACTTTTTTTTTCCAGGAAGACACAGGTTGTTTTCTTTTTAATTGAAGTGTAGTTTGATATACAATATTGGATTCAGGTGTACAACACAGTGATTTGGTAATTATATGCATTACTAAATGCTTACCACCACAAGTATAGTTACCATCTGCTCTGACATTATGACAGAACTTGGAGAGGTGGGCAAACGGACAGAACAGACAGAGAAGTCAGGGGCAGAGGACCTGGCATAAGTCATCCCCTGCTGACTTAGCCTACTCGCTTCCTAGCTGGACCTCATTCCTCCAATGCGTTTTTCTTTCCTTCCTTCCTCCTCTCACCATATGTTTATTGAAAGCATACAATGTATCAGGCACTTTTCAAAACTCTGAATACACAAAGATGAACAGGACATAGCTCTGCACCCCAGAGCAATACAATAGGACGGGAAGAGTGATATAGTAGTGGTAGATAGCAAGGTCATGTTTCAGCTGGATTTTGAAGAATAAGTAGTGGGAACTTGCCAGGTAGAAGGGGGGAGAGCGAGGCCTGATGTAGTTTCAAGACACGTTAGCAGGAAGAGTGGTCAGAAGTCATAAGAGTGCTGAGAGGAAGAAGCATGATGTGGGGGTGGCAGAGACCCGAAGGTGCGTGAAGGTGTGTGAACAGAGAGATCCAACCAATATTGGCCACTTTTCAGTTTGAGACGAGGATCAGGCCCAGACACTGACGTGGGGCAACAAGTGCATGGAAGCCTTGTATGTGGCAATGGCAGGTCTCTCTACAACAAGTAATGGTTGAAGTACCCATCATTTTTACTTTTAACTTTGATTTTTTTTAATCTATGATTTTTAGAAATTATTAGAAATTAATATTAGGAATATAAAATATTAGAAATATATACAATTAGGTAAAACAGAACCATGACTTATATCTCACAATTTATGTCCCGGATTGTGATCTTCAATGTCACTCCCTACTCCCAACCAAGAATAAAATAAGATCTTATTCTTATGCTTGGAACCCAGTTTCAGTAGAATAAGAGAGCTCTATCTTCTGTATGACTATTCTAATGATAATTTCTAAAAGTAATAGGCATATCCACTCAAACAATGAATATCTTGCACCAAGTAAGAAGGACTCATTTCTAATTATGTTATTTCTTTTTCTCCATCACCAATGACATGGACTTTGCCTGGACATTTTGAACAGGAAAACCAAGCAGGAAAACCAAGAGTGGTCCTGTTCTCATCCTACAGAATAAGAAATCATCCTTATCAAAGTACAGTACATACCATAGTTGATTTACTCTTAGAAACTGTGAATTTTTTTTTTTTTTTTAGCAAATATCTTTTACCCTTTCTTCAACATATATGCCATGTAGCCACAGCCATTCTAACAGATACAGAAGGAAGTGGCTGCCATTTTTGGGTGCTCTTCGGGGACTGAGCTCCACAGGCCTCCCTGCATTTTTTGATGAGTGCCTGCAAGTGTCATTTGCAGAAACTGCCTGCCCCTGCCACTTGGGTCTTTGCCTCTCAGAATCCACCACCCAATTGTTTATTAAGCTACTCTCCTGACCCAGGTATTTGCAGCTGTACCATGTCATTCAAAATTGCTGCAATAGAACCTTATAGCATTTTTGGTTTGTTTCTTCCCTTTTTTGATGGTTGATTCACTTATACTCATTATTTCATAAATTGCTAGTTCTCAACTCTGGCTACCCCAGGGTAACTCTCTGAAAATATACCGATGCCCAGGATGGGCACCCCAGCCCCAGGGAAAGGGCCCGGGGCGGCACTGCAGTATCTGTTACAATCACACGTGACTTCATCCTTGCACAGTGTTCAGTGTATGTGTCCTGTATGTGTTGTTTGATTTATACCTAATTCTTTCTTTTTGAGCGATTGTAAGTGGTACTGTATTTTTAATTTCAGAGTTCTTTTATTCATTGCTAGTGTATTGAAATACAATTGATTGTTCTTTTATCTTATATACTGACCTTACTGGGTTCACGTATTAGTTCCAGGAATTTTGTTTTTGTCTCTTGGGGGTTTTTTAGATTCCTTTGGATTTTCTATATAGATCACCTGCAAATAGGAATGGTTTTATTTCCTCCTTTATGATCAGTATGCCTTCTATTTCATTTTCTTGCCTTACTGCAGTGGGTAGAACTTCCTCTGTTGAGTAAGAGTAGTGGAAACAGACATCTTTGCCTTGTTCACAGTCTAATGAGGATTTAGGTTTCCTCCTTTAAGTAAAATGTTAGCTATAATATTTTTATAGATGTAGATACTCTATCAAGTTTAGGAAATCCCTTCAATTTCAGTTTTTCTGAGAATTTTTTATTATAAATGAGCATTGAATTTTGTCAAATGCCTTTTCTGCACTGGTGCTGCATACACTAATGTGCAAACATTTCCCCTCAGAAAGCTCACCACTCTCACAGTTTTCATTCCCTCAGCAGATACTTACTGAGTGCCCTATATGCCCAACAATAAATTAAAGACAGTCTCTCCCTTTACGGAGCTTCCTCTTTTGAGGAAGACAGACAACGGATTAGTTGGTTACAATATAATATGATAATGCCACTGGGAGGATAAGCTTAGACTGCCGCAGCCATGCAAAGCAAGAACTCAGCCCAGGCAAGAGGTGAGGAAGTGGGGGAGCAAGGGCAGGATCAGTGAACTCTCCAGACAGGTGTCATCCAAGCCGAGGCTGGTGAGAGGAGGAGTCAGTGAGGAACAGGCCGGGCCTTCTGGCACAGAGGTGGCAGAGCCTGGCCCTGTTTAGAATGGCTGGTATGTAGGGCGAAAATGAGTGAAGCTCGAGGCATAAGTCAGTATAGTACCGTGCACAGGTAAGCAGTGGCGCATCCTAAAGAGTCTGTGCTCTGTCCTGAGGGCCCAGGGGAGCCACTCAGCATTATAGGCAAGAGTGTGACGAAGACCCAACCAGAATTTCATTGTAGAAAATTGAATGTGCTGTTATTTTAATGGAATGGAGTGGGGAAAATCTAAAGGTGGAGGGGCCGGTTAGGAGCCTATTGTCACCATTCAGGTGAGAGATAATGAACTGCCTTAACCAGATAGCGGCAGTGGGAACAAAGAAAGAAAGACTGTGAGACACATCAGGCAATGGCCTTGCCAGGCTTTGAAAGGCTTGCATAAAGATTTGGAGAAACATGAGGAAAAGAGTGGTCAATAACTTCCAAATTTCTAGTGTGGCGATTAGGAGTATGTTGTGGTCATTCAGTGATACTGGGAACACAGCAAAGCCAGCAGGCCTGAAGAGGAAGAAAGGAGTGTGATTTTTGGAGTATTAGTTTTAGCAGCCTGTGGGACAGCCAGAAAGATTCTGAGGTCCAGTTGGAAGCTGGACACTGAAGTCTAGAACTCAAGAGATAGAGATGAGGGAGTCATTAGCATATTAGCAGAGGTTGAATCCATGAGACAATGAGATCACCCCAAAACAAGGGGTAGAATGAAGGGGAAGAAGGCTGAGGAACCACAGACATTAATGTGGAAAAGGAACCCAAAAAAGGTAAAAGGAGTTTCAGAGGGGTCAGAGAATTGATCAGAAAATGGTACCACTGAATCAAGAGAGGAGTGGGCTGGACAGTAGTATCAAATGCTTTCTCAGGGGATGTTTCCCAAACATTCACTTACACCTTTGGCACTTTCTGTTTCCCACACCTTATTTCCAATTGCTTAAAGGGCAGCTCCAGTTGCTGTTCTGTCCCCTCAAACTCAACATGAACTAAGAAAACATTAATCTTGTCCTCACTCCATCCTTAAACTCTTTTCCTTCCTCTTGGTGCTACCCCCAGTCTCCCAGGCTTCTCTTTGGCCTCCACAGCTCTTTCCCTTCTTGGCTCCCGTGACCTCATCCTTCCATGTCTCTCTAGATTCTTCTCCCTCTCCCAACCCACTTACCCATTTTTCCCATCACCACCCTATACCTGAAAGTATTAACTACCTAGTTCACCAATAGCCACCTTACTCTCTCCCTAGACCCTGCCTCTTTAATATTCTAGTCATTTTCAATTTATCCTTCTTAAGGGATTTTTCCAGAGCTACTTTGCAACCATGTAATTATTCTCTAAGGCTGTAACTCATCGCCCACCCCTCCAACCAACATTTCTTCAGCCTAATCAGACAGTATTTTAAAAAATAAAATCTGCTCTTAACAAGACAAATACTGTATTACTTAGGGCAAAGCTTTGATTTGAGCACTAGAGCACATGTTTAGTTTCTCAAGAAGACTGCATTAAAATAAGGACAAAACAGATGTAGCAATGTAGGTTGTGTTTCTTTTTTTAAAAAAAATTACCTTACTTTAGAGATGCACTTCAAATAATTGATACCATATGGTATGGCTCTTCCTCCTGGCCTCAGTTTACATGTATCAACTTTGTCTGAAACTGAAGCTGATTTTCTTTTGCATACTGGTGGAATCATTGATTCCTGCAATCAGCAGTTCCCTAAAGGGCTAAACAGGCTATTGAAAAGGACTGTTACAGTTAGATTCCAAAGTTTAGAAATGAAAGCAAATCTCTTGACAGAAAATGGCTAAGAAATCAAGCATTTTCTTTTTCTTTTACAGCCAATCTGAAAGTATCAGTTCAGAAGACAGTTTGGAATTATTTTTAGATGATATGGACTATGATCCTGTAAGTATATGATCTTTCTTGATTTAAATATTGTACTCAGTGAAAAGCACACATACTCATTTCTTTTGAAATTAAAATTCCCTATTCCAAATATTCTACAACTTTCCAGAAGAACATATGACTTTGATACTGTTCCCCAGTTGTACATATAATTCATCTTTGTCATCAGACATTTTATGAAAAATAAATGTCTCTAAGAAGGTCATAACTTAAGTATTAACTACAACGTTATTATAAAAATAGCCACTTTCTGATTGCTTATCATTTTTTGCATATCATTTTCTTGGGGCTTATATTAGGTAGCTGAACTGGAAGATAAACAGACAAAACCGCCCTTTACGGCTACAAGACTGACTTTGAGCTACCTCCATCCTAAATATAACCACAGAAACTCAAAAGGACCAAAAAAACCACTATCCATTACAATATATAACATATACCATAACCAAGTCATCTTATATTTTTTTACTGTGGTTAAAAAACATACCATCTTAACCAGTTTTAAGTGTACAGTAGTGTTAACTAAATGCACATTGTTGTGCAACAGATCTCTAGAACTTTTTCATCTTGCAAAACTGAAGCTCTATACCCGCTGAACAAACTATTCCTGCTCCCCACCATTCTATTCTGTTTCTAAGAGTCTGAATACTTTAGATACCTCACAAAAGTTGAATCTTGCAGTATTCATCTTTCTGTGACTAGCTTATTTCACTTAGCCTAATGTCCTCCATGTTGAAGTATGTGACAGGATTTCCCTTTTTTTAAAGGCTGAATAATATTCCATTGTATGGACATACACATTTTCTTTGTTGATTCATCTACTGATAATACATTTAAATTGATTTCACCCCTTGCCTATAGTAAATATGAACATGGGTGTGCAAGTACCCATAAAATATTTTAAAAATTAATTTAAATACATACTTATTCCTTAAATTTGGGGAAATTTAAAAAAATTAATATAATGTGAAAGAAAATGACTTTACTTAGCCTCCTTTTTCTTTTTTCTCTAGAATAAACCTATTCTGATGCCTTTCTGCCATTTAATGTCAGACAGCTGCAGAATTATTTACAACAGAATTGAAGGGTGGAAACAATCCGTGTCCTTCAACAGATATGGATAAACAAGATATGACATACATATACGATAGAATCTTATTAAGCCATAGAAAGAATAAATTCTGGTACATGCTTACAACACGGATGAACCTTGAAAACATTATATTAAGTGAAATAATAAGCCAGGCACTAGACTCACCTTTCTCTTTTCTCTCGTTTTGCCTCCTCCTCTGTTCCATTCCTCCTTTCTGGCACCTTCGTCCTTTTTTCCCTTCTTTAATACCTTTCATCTTCCCCCAAAACCCAAAGTGTCCTCTTTCTGAGGGCCAGTTCTCACATGGAAATGGGCTCCTTTGTCATTCTCTACCCATGTCTCCCTCATAAGCAGAACGGTATTCCTTTGTCTCACTGTGGTTTTCTAGGTAAGCCACATGTGCATAGGCAGCATATTTTTAAGTGAATTATATTCTTCATTATGGATTAGGAGCCAGAGCTTTATTTCAAAGAACCAGAAGAGTTACTTCAAGTCCTCACAGAGCTGGAAGAGCAGAATCTTACTTTGGTACAGTATTCCCAAGATGTAGATGAAAATCTTGAAGATGTAAATAAAAGAGAGAAACTTATACAGGATAAAATGTAAGTCATTAAAAGCAAGTAGATTTATTCTGTTAAGTGATTTCTAACCAGAGACGGAGTCTAACTCATTCATGTGTGGCCCTTCAATGTGGGCTCTCTGGATTTAGGACAGGATTTTTATTAGTAATAGCTTACACTGTGGGGTGTAAAAGGCAGAAGTTAGAGTTACACAGAACACACTGGCTTTAGTTTTTGTCCCTACTTCCTTTAAGTTGTCAAAATACTTTCCTAACAATATAAAAGTTAGTTTAAAAGATTAAGAATTGAAATGTCACCTACTGCCTTAATTTTTGTTCTATGCTGTTTTCATTCTACCATCTGGCTAACAAATCATACTTTGTATATTACTAACACATGCATTTTCCTTGGCTGTGACTCTCAGCAAGATTTTTTTTGTGACTTAAATATTGAATCTTTTTATAATATATCGGGTCTATTATAAAACATTTCTGTCAGGGAAAGGAGGCTGGATTTGATGACTCACAAAATTCCTTCCTTTTCTAGAATTTTAGATTATTATAATTTTGGAAAATAGCTTCAAGTCTCAGGGAATAGATCTGTATTATTGACCCATTGAAAAATGTGCAGAACCTTTTTTGGAACAGTCTTCTGGGCCAGAAAGTGGCAATCTTTTAAACAGTAGGTCAGACTACACTGAACTTCCTAACAAATTGTTCAGAAGAACCTAAAAATCATGATCGCACAGGAACCTGCTTCTACTGATATATCCTTTTAATCCATGCCTCCTTTCTCTCAATCCTCACAGTTTATGGTGTCCCCAACTCTGACAAGATGACTTGCGGGAATAGGATGGGTATGGTCGGGCATGAAAAGGGGATCTATGTCAGAATCTCTCTCTAGATCTGTATCAGAATCTCTAGGTAAGGGAGTCAGGAATCTCTATTTTCCCCGTCCCTAGATATTCCGATTATCAGTCAAGTTTGAGAACACTGATGTAACAGATCACAACTTGGGTTCCTGACACCTCAGTTCGGCTGCTATTTGGGGTCTCAGGATTCATAGGAAGAAAATGCTTCCTGGTAGAAGTTAAGAGCAGCATCTGTGCATTTATTTTCCTCATTTTAACATAAAGTTGCATGTACTTCAGTAATGTCTTAAAAATAAACTTGCATTTGGCTTGCTAGATCTAGGATGTTGACACACAGTCTAGAAAGAGTGTTGAAGTTCCTGACTTAGTTTATTTCACTAAGTCAAAAATTATAGACAAGGGTCTCTTTCTTTTTTTTTTCAACAGAAATAGCAACATAGAATTTCTTTTAAAGCACAAGGAAATGCTTAAGGCTAACTGTGAGAGAGAAGAGGAAAAAGCAGCAGAACTGGAATTAAGGTCCAGGCTATTTAGTTTCGGAGAATTCAATTCAGAAGCTCAGGTAATCATTCTCTGCCTAAGGTAATTTTATTTTGGCTCATGATAATAGTGATTTGCATTCCCTATGTACTAAGCATTGGAATGAGGGGAGTTAAAAGCAAACCACAAATCCCAGGTTGATGATAGAGGCAGAAAACCAGCTTGGAATTATCTTGTCAGTATGTAATAGTCAATTTACAGAGTAGATAGCGTTCAAATTGCATTGGAGTTCTCTTAAACTGCTGCTCATACACGAAGGATGATGTTGACATTTTTTCCCCCTATAAATACATTCCTTTTAGTCTTGGAGCATACATATGAAGTAGTTCACTGCCTGTGATCATTTTGGCAGTAAACTGAGGAGCAAACAATTAACAGAGGAAGTACTGAATCGACACTGAACCTGTACTAGGTTTCAGCCTCTTTGGGCCTACATAAGCAGATGCATTTTCAGAGCACCTGTGACATACTGACTGGTTTACTTACCTATTCACATGTTCGTTTCTCCTGGCTGGATGCAAACTCTCGAGGGTATGGATTGTATTACCCTTCCTAGTTAAGTACATTCAGTGTCCCTATAAAGTAGGTACTCAATAAATGTTTGTTGAATGAATGATTCTAGACCCAAGACAAACTCCAGCTAACATTGGTCTCTTTTTAAAAAATTTCAAATGAAATAAAAATTCAAAGCTCATATGTGAGGCTGTTATCACATTATGGTTATGAACTTGTTTTTCAAACAGAGGTAGATTTGGGGAAACTCTATTCTAAGGTGGTTGTCCTCCCCGTACCCACAGGTGGGCAGGGTTACCAAAAGCAAAAGCTGTTTTTGGCTCCTTCACACATTTCATTTTCACTTAACATGAAATGGAATGTAGTCTATTCCACTGTTCAATTGGGAGAGTTTACAGAAAGCACACAGCAGAATGTGACAATGGATTAGAATTACAGGACCTTGAGTTGGAAATAATGTTGACAACCAGACATCTCCTTCCCCCCTATCCAGTTTTGATGTGATTATTCCTCCCACACATTGCTCTGGTCAAACCACTTCCCATTCACTGTTGGAAGGCATCCAAAGTTCTGCTTGTCCTGGTGTTTAGTCTTCCACAGTCCCAGTCCTGCCCCAGTTACCCCCCAAAGCAGCAGGCGTGCCTCCATCCCTTGCAGCCTCTTGGCAGTGCCTCCTCCGAGCTGGGCCTGCCATCTGGTGGCAGCTCCGGGATTGGACTGACACTGCTTCTCTCAGGAGTAGCCAAGGCCTCAAGGTTTATTTTCTCTTTGGCTCTGTTGGGCCAGGCCCTCAATCTCTTTTTCATACATGAGTATTTTCTTTAACTTCACTCATCACTCATTCCTTATGCTGTTGTTTTATTATGTTAAGGAAGTATCTCTCCTTGTCTTTGCCTCTATTTGACAGGGGCACTTAAAAAAAAAAGGCATCCTGAAAGGCCAGTGGTCACCTACTCCTAAAACTAAGTGTTGAAGAGGTCTCCTTCAGAAATTCCATTAACTACCACCCATTCTCACATTAAAGGTTCAGTGTTCTGGAGTTCAATGTATTTTTAAAATATGACTCACATTGCAGCAATATTGTGTTTTCAATATATAGCATACAATTCAGCCCCTTGATGGGTTACTTTTTCTTTTTTCTTTTTATATTTTTCTGTATTTCTCAAGTTTCTAAAAGGAATGTGTTAATATAAATAGGAAATACAATGTTATTTAGAAAGGGAGAGAAAAAAGGAACTTTATGGCAAATTGGGACCTTTGCTTTTTTAATTTTTCCTTTTTTTAATATCTTGTACTTCTCCAAGTTTTCTAATAGGAGCATTTTAAAAAATATAAGTAGGAAATACAGAAAAAAAGGATGCTTTACAGAAAACAGGACCATCAGAAAGGTGTTTAAACTCTAGAAGGTGGGAGAGACAAGCCGCTGAAAGTGAACTGTTCTAACAGATTGACTGGTAATTTAAGTGTCAGTAGCTGTGTAGAGTCTGGTGCCAGGAGGGGTTTCCCAGGGCCATGGCTCCTGCAGCCACATCTGTCTTCAGTGCTATTTGTACTTGGCTTTATGGTGATTCTCATCTTCTCGAGGAGAGGCAGGCACTTGGGCAGGATGCCACCTGCAGAGCGATTTACTTTGCCCAGCAGTTTACCAAGATCCTCTTAACTGCGAATGCCGGGTACACAGCGGAGAAAAAGGATAAGGATTTTCTTACAGTGCCGAAACAGGTTATCTACAAGCTTGAGCATCTCTACAAAGTTAAACCAGCCCAGTGGCGAGGTACAGGGATCAGCAAAGTTTGGTCTAAACCTTTGTTTAGGATACTGCAATGGCCTCCCAACAGAAGGAGTGAAAATTAAACTCCTTAAAAGGCTTTTGTAGGCCAGCCTGGGAATCTGTATGCTTGTAACCACTTTTTTTCTCTCAGAGAGAATTCATTTATTCAGCAAACATTTATTAAGTGCATAGTTATGTACCAAGTGCTGCTGCAGACAAAAGTATAAACGTTAAGAAATAGCTTCTGCCCTCCAGGTGCTTATAGCCTAGAAGGGGAAGTAAAGCATGTACACAAATAGCTATCATTCAGGATTATAGTTTTAGCAATTAGAGTAGTAATTGTAAAAGGAGGGAGCTCACATGTTATGTTGCAAGGAAATGCACTGGAGTTGCAAGAAAGGATTTAAAATCCATATACTGCCTCTGCTTGAATGCTCAGGGAATCAAGATACACAAAAACATTCAAGCAAAAAGATTGTTTTATAATAACTTTTTATACCTAGACTTAAATTATTTTTAAAGAAAACAATCCAAGGCCATTACTACAATAAGGATGACTATAAATTATGATATAAATATAATTACTGTTTTTCTCACTGTTGTCATATTGGTTTTTCTCTTAAAAAAAGGAAACATTTGCAGCATATAAAAGCCTCTTCACTAGGATACAGTAAAATGGAATTTTACATTTATTGAATGAACAACCAAATAGTGACGTTTTACTTGTTCTCCTTTTCTTCTCAATCTCAGGAAAAACTGATAGACTCTCTTAGTAAAAAAATTAATCAAGTATGTAAAGTCTGCATTGGAGATACTGAGGTTGGTGGTCTCGACCCAGTTCAAAAGCTGGTAAAAGTGGAGTCTCGCCTGGTGGAATTGAGTGATCTCTTCGACTCCATTCCCAAAGAAAATGTGGAGGCGATTGAGAGGATAAAGCAGAAAGAACGGCGGCAAAAGTACACAATGTCTTCTAAGTGTAGTGAATGACTTAATGAAAAGTTGCCTTTGCTTGGATTCCACAAACACTGAGCAAGTCTCTATTAAATAGCAAGGATCATCATATAGAGACACATTCGAACCAAACCCAGCCCTGCCCTCCTCACAGAACTTTTATTTAGTGTGGGAGACACATTCATCAAATATTGAAATAAATGTGTCATTAGCAAAGCTCACGAGCACTGTGAAGTAGAGAAACCAGGTGAACAGAAAGAGTTCACAAGGGCCAACTGACCTAGTGTGGGATGGATGAGGGGTCCTTTTAGCCCGAAAAAGCAAATTTTCAGTGAATATTCACTCTTTATATGAAAATTTTTGAAGAACTATCACGTAGAAGAAATACCCTTGTGGTGAAGGGCCAAAGGCATAGAACCAGAGGCCCTTGATTGGAGAACTACAAGGCCACTCAATCTATGAAAGAGTTGTTTGAAAATCAGAGCCATGCAATGAAGGTTTTCCTCGGTGCGTAACTGCCAACACTTACTTACATGGCATTTACACACTAACTCATTTATTCCTCAAGGACAATCTCATGTGGGTTATTACCCCTGGAACACTCCAAGTCCCCCACATCCCCAAGTCCTTGCCGAGCCTGGGGCCTTTCAGGGGAATGCACTGATTTACAGATTTCCATATAGAGTTAAATAAGGATTTTATGTACATACTTCCTGTGAGGCAATGATTATCATAAATGTAATATCCCTAGTATAATATGAAATGTAGAGAATGCTTACAGATGAAAACACTTTGGGGAGCAAACTAGTACTGTGGCCACAAGCATGGTTCATTCCAGGCTCTGCCATTTACAACTTTTGTGACTTTAGGCAGGCCATGTAACCTCTTAGGTCTCAGTCTTTATCTGTAAAACGGTAATAACAGTATTATCTCAGGGTTGTATGGTAAATCTATGTAAAAGCACTAAATCATGCTTAGCACATAGATGTACTCATATATTGGCCTAGCCATTGATAGTTTTGTTATTGCTTACTACATTACTGGTGTATGAGGGATACTATTTCACCCATACAACAATGAAGTCCAGAATATATTAAGATCTTGATGGAATTATTGAATATAAAGCAAATTTTTAAAAATTGTAACTGGAAGATAACCCCTTCCAACAGATGACCTATGACTGATTATACTAAAAGTATTTGCACTTTTTTCACAGTATGAAATATATTCTCATCCAAGACTAATTATAACTTTTCAGTAGTAATATGTGAATCTGTTTATTATTAGTTTTATCAAGAATTTCAGTTGGTTTTCCCATAGTTTGGAGGCACCTAACATAGCATGTAATTTTCACAAAAATGTTGTTATAATATACTTACAGGTAAAATAATGTTCGTCCATAAAACAGCTAGCATTTATCAAGTGCCTATTTTACACCAGGCATAGACTGAGATGGTTTGCATAGGTCTCTCATTTAATTTTACCCTCACAACAGCCCGAAAGAGAACAAGACAAATAGCCTTTCTTGGTTTTAATTTGAGGATACCATTCAAAAAGATTAACTTAAAAGTACACTTTTGTGGTAACTCACTAAACTTTACACTTGTGATTTGTGTACTTTTCTGCATGTTATACTTCAATAAAAATGTCAGGAAAGTGGGGGAAATAGCTGGAGATTAATTCAAGTGACCACTGTATAGATTAACTATAAAATGCTGAAATATAAAGTGGAATGACAAAATTTTGCTGAGGTGCTTGTTTTAGACCAGCGTCTGGGTAGATTTTACTTCTTCCAAAATGGTAACATTCAGGTTCTTAACATTTCAACACAAACAGGATTTGTTGTTGAGATGTCACCTGATTATTCAAAAGCCAGTTATAGGTAAAGACAAAGTATTTTTTTCATTTGAACTTGAAGATCTTATAAAAGTTAGATATCTAAGTTCATTATCAAATAGTAAAGACATAGGCCTTTTTACTTTCTGCGACTTATAGTTAGAAGAATGTATTCCCTTCCTAACAGGTTGCGTGAAGAGAAAATTAAAGAAAAACAAAAACACCACGAAGAAAGGCTAAAAGCTGCTCTAGAAAGAGCAGTAGCACAACCAAAGATAAAGGTTTGCATTTTGTTATTAATAGGTCCAGCTACATCAACCTGTGTTTCTGTGGTATAAAAACAAAATACTTCATTCATCCAATTTATCCAGGTTGAACCTGAGTAAAATAATCTCTCTTGCTCTCAGCTTCACTTGGCATGTGGCTCCTTGTTACTTTTTAAATAATTCAAATTACATGGTCTGCAGTTCTCTATCAGACCCACTTTAAGTAAATCTCTCACCTCTTTTTGTTTAGCTCAAGATTCGTAAAAACATAATTTTTTAAAAAAGTTTTTTGAATAGGTAATACAAGCATATGGTTGAAAGTTCAAAAGACACAAGAGTATATGCAGTGAAAAGTCTTCCTCAGTTTCCCTCCCTGGAGGCAACACTGTTAACAGTTTCATCTGTATCCTTCTGAAAATATTCTATGTATTTATAGATATTCTTTTTCTTACAAAGAGTGGCTATGAACCTTGCTTCTTTCACTGAACAATGGAGATAGTGAACTCAGAGAATTACATATAATTTGAAGGGACTTCTAATTATCACACTGTAAAAATAATGAGATTAGTACTTGAAGTTAAAATAAAGGATTTACCCAGTCACTTCAGATTAAGTAGCACAATCAGGACCAGAAGCCAAGATTCCTTATATTCCAAGATTGCCTGTCCAGTGTTTGGGACTGGGTGCACGTGGTCCATGAATCCCCACCGGGTGTGGAGGGCCTCCTGTTTCACACATTGTGATACAATGGAG